ATTATCATAACCCGACAAACGCATCAAGTAGCGAGCCCTCTCTTCTGTCGACACTCGCTTGAAACAACCCCTTTTGCAGTGACAATTGGGCCAGTTGCTCTAGCAGGAACAATCTTTCCCGTACACGGGGATGTGTACTCCTCGCCTTTCCATTACCGTCATTTACGGTGCGTACTGGTTGATTTGGTGATGCTAAAGGGTTTGTTAGGAAGTTGTTCGGAAAATCTTAAATATTGGACATGTGCTATTCTTACTCTAAGCAGCTCATTAATAGTTTCGCCCTTATTGCATGGAGGCATGTCCGCAAATCGTGGAATTGCACTGCTCGACTACTCCTGCGCTAGCACATGGTCGTCCACGCCCACCTCTTCGGCAGTAATTTTGTATGTCGCGATTTTCATGCCACTTTTTGGCTCTGGGCATGCTCAGTAACACCACAGTTTGACGATTTTGCAGGAATGAGCTCTTACAGGAAATTGTTATTGCCTAACTTAGGAGGTGTGGTCTGAATGCCACGTGACAGTGGTGTGATTCGTTCGTTGTCGAAAGCGACGTCGTTTTTCCCTGCAGAGAGCAAAGAGAATTGGTGAGTGATACATACAATTTTGCCTGTAAGACACCACACAATTTTTGCTACCACGCTGTTTCGTGCATTTTACGTGTGTGTACGGTGCTGGGTTTAAGTCCTGCGTTGGCTGAATCGCCTGCTGGGCCGCATGCTGAGTTCCTTTTGTATCCCTGTGTTCACCTTGTTATTTATGACCCTAATAATCTCGCGCTGATCAGAGTAATTTTGCCCTACATAAGGCTACTTGTAGGCCTTTATGTGTCCCCTGGGTTCTATTACAGACTCGTCATGTGGTACGTCACGTGATTTTGCCTGGAATACGCTCAGCATCCCCCTGCCCCCACTACTAAGAGATTGTCAAGCCAGTGGAATTCTCTGTATTATTTTCGGAACGTCTATATTAGAACAAACTAATACTGAGACTTGTTTTGCAGTTCTGAAGGCCAACCTTTCTACAACCTTTGCACATATGGTCAGAATTATCTTTCCGGTCTCTCCTCACATGCCTATAAAAGTACAAAAGCAATCACCAGGTGTAATCAAAGTGTTCTGAACGAGTATAGCTGGCTTTATTTCCTCTCATGCGTATAAAAAGTACAAAGCAATCACCAGGTTGTAATCAAGGTGTTTTTGAATGAGTAGCATGCGCAGCTTGCCGAGGGTTTGCACTTTAGTGCTTTTCATTAGTTACTTTGTCGGGACTCCATGACATTCTCACGTTCGGCAAGTGGGGGGTCAGTGTCATCTTACAACATAATTGCATCACTTGTTCTGTACTAAGCTACTCTACCTGTAGTACTTCTTCCCTAGTGACAATGTGTTTATTTCATCCACCCCGTATTTTAAATTGACAGTCCTTGGTTTTTGTGTTATGTTGAAATCGACATTTGTGATATATACTCCGCTCTAGCAGTGTTATTTTGATTGACGACATTATTCGTTGCCAACAGACACTAAGTTGCTTGATACCTATTTTACAGGGTTTGTAAAATGCAATCTTTCCATGTTTTTTTACCGATCTCTACTGGAACTTCCCTGTAGTACTTCTTCCTAGTGACAATATTTTAGTGTTTATTTCATCCACCCCCCCCCATATTTTTTAATAGACAGTCCTTGGTTTTTGTGTTATGTTGAAATCGACATTTGTGATATACTTTGCATATTCCGCTCTAGCAGTGTTATTTTGATTAACGACATTATTTCGTTGTAACAGACACTAAGTTGCTTGATACCTATTTCTATTTGCCACTGGAAAGCCATACTCACTAAAACTTTGCAATCTTTCCATGTTTTGGGTTTTTTTTAACAGATGCTTTTTGAACAGAGCCCACACACACACCGTTTTATTAGGTATGTTGATCCACCCCAAGCTGTTTTCCTCCCTCCTGCCTCACCCTATCTCATTCCTCTCGATATTTTGAAAGCGTTGTTGGTGCAATTGGGAGCATTGTTTGCAACAGATCCGGGTTCGATTCCCGGCCAACAACCAGTTTTTCTCGTCTTTTCTCTCTATTTAGAGTGTGTGTGTGTGCCATAAGTAATATACTACAAGTGTATCCAGTCCCATTATACTTTGCTTTGTGGGAATGTTTCTGTTGTCTCTGTTTCTATCAACTCGCCCTGATGCACACATCACACTTCTAATAAATGCACACTTAGCCAGTAGCATATTTACACAATGCAAATTCTCGTTATTACCGTGTTGGCTATAGGCAATTAGTAAGTAACTTGCATGCATTACATGGGTTACAAACCACAATCTACGTGCATGTATGTCAATGCCTGTAAGATATTTTGGACTTTACATTTCCATCACAGTGTCTTTGTTGGTTGATGCACAGCTTCAGTTATTTCAACAGAAGCCGCTACTGGATTTGATTAGCATAGGAACGCTCACATGCAGTTGTGAGCAATCAGCATTTACAAGACACACACAAAATTCACCATGCCTTGATCTAGAGACACATGAACCTCACAACACCCTCTTGCACAAAGAAAATATTATTAAAAACATTGTGCATGCGTGGTCAATTTTGGTGACAAAAAGATTATCGGTAATACATCATTCTTCAAATAGGCCATTCCCTCTAACAGCCTAAAGAATTCAATTAACTACGCGCGTATAACTACATTGCATAAACTTGTTGGCAGAGCCGCACTTTACGCAGACTGACTTTTAGACAACAACTGCACAATCATTTACTGCAACTGCACTGACTTGTACAAACACGTGGCTGGTTAAATACTGCTATACATGAAAGTTCTAGAGCAGGAATGTTCTAGAACCGTCTACATAACATAACAATCTATAGCAGTACAGTCTGACAAGAGTGGATTTGTTCTCCAACATAACTAAACTATACAAAATGTATATACATTGTGTTTAGGATACGAAGTGCGAAGGCAGAAGGCGTTGGTGTTGTTGACGTTGATGGGACATACTTGGAAAGAAAAAGGCAGAGTCTCGTGTCTTCAAATGTGAACGTTGCACCCCTCCCACCCCCAAACTTTCCACTTCATGGATGGCAATCTGTTGAAGAATCTAATGCTGAACAGATAGCGACGCAACTCCCGTGTCAACGCTGTATACTTACCTTGCCGAAGGGGTGGGGAATGCCCGAGGCTCTATGGCTTTCCGTGCACTAAAGCGAGGATATGTGCACTGGGCATCTGGACGTGTCAGCAAAGTTGAAGTCCAGACACGCCATCCACTCTTCACTTTTATCCAGAGTACAGTAATACCCTCTATGCGGTCTGGTTCATACTCAGTCAAGTTGCTATTGAGAAAGCGAACCTTGAGGGATCAAGTTGTTGGAGATGTTTATCAAGCATCGTGTGAATGTGCTGCAGGGTTAATGTGATTATGTAATACTTACAAGGTTTCAAATGTGTTTTGTTTATAGGTTGTCTGCCTGTTGTGTTCACATATCAGCACTGCTTCATGCACTGGTGGCTCTGTCATCGTGTTCTGGGTCAGACAATAGCAGTGATGAAGAAGCCATTCAATGCACATAAAAACCATGTAAGTGGAAGCAACCTTGCAAACGGAAAGCAAACACACAGCTAGTTTCAACAGCATGCTTTCAAAAGCACGAGTATGGGAAGACACGAAGATATTCGTTTGAAGGCATGGAAAAGTTTGACCCACGACCAGAAGCCATGCGAAACACAATAGCAGAAAGACTGCCCCGGCTACTAAAAGATGTCAAAGGAAAAGGACTGTGTGTTTCCCTGCTTTTTGACCCATCTCTTTGTGCAGACACACCAGCAACCCCAACATTTCTAACAAAATCGCAGCTCCTAGAGAAGGTGATGAAGTTCAAGAAAACCTTAGAAGTCTCAGAAGAAGACATCCGTCGTATTCAAATCGAAACAAGAGGACAGTCAACATCACCTCTGTGGTTTGAAGCACGTAGACTACGTTTGACTGCATCCTTGTTTGGTCGTGTTAGGCAGCTAAAGCCTTCTACTCCTCCAGACAACCTAGTACTTACAGTTCTAGGAGTGAAAACTGCAACGGGTGCTGCATTGAGCTATGGGCGGTCAATGGATGCAACTGCTTTGGATGCATATGTTAAGTATCAGCAAGCACATGGCCATCCACACCTTCTTACTGCTACGACAGGTGTAATAATATCACATAAATATCCATCCTTGCTGCTCCCCAGATGCTACTGTGTACGACCATCAAATGTATCAGAGCCTTACGGTTTTGTAGAAATCAAGTGTCCCTTCAAGTACCAGGATACAACCCCTACTCTCAGCCAGCAAAAGTGATTTCTTCCTAAAGCAGGGTTCAGATGGGCATCTTGTCCTAAAGGAATCACACGTGTACTTCTCTCAAGTACAGGGCCAATGGGAGTGGGGAAAGGATGTGGCGCGTATCCACCATGCCTTAATTCTGGGAAACCGAACTACTGCCTAAATTGTGCACTTTTTATGATATGTGTATAGCCCCTGAAATCGTGTGTCCACAGCATCCATTTGGGTTACCACTTCGTGATTTACGTCATGAATAATAAATCAATACACCACACTTTCATTGTCAGAGTCACTTGTGTCACTATTGTCTGTTTCTTGAATTTCACCAACTGGAACTAATGCAGGCTGAAAGTTTGCGAGACAAGCACAAACTGTGACAATTTGATTTGCAATGCGTGCCATTCTTAGCGGAAACACATTAGTAAGTATCTTAAGCTGCTTCATTCGACCATCGCCTCTCAACATGGATACGAAGCGAGGCTATAGAGCGACCATGCTGTACATCTTCTGGTGGAAGCTGACTACAACCTTCCATGAAAGGAGGTAGGGTTAAATGATGTTGAGTCTAGCTAAGCTTTCTTTTATTGTGAAGCCTCGGTCGGCCATTATTGAAACTCCTTCCATCCCTTCAAGTTTTTGAAGGAAGCCACAATCACGTGTGAGGGCAGGATCGGACACTGAGCCAAGGTAAAGGGGTGAGATGAATGAATTAGGAGTACAGGCAACTAAAAATTTAGCGTATTATGTTGTTGTAGCTGCTCCAAGATGTTGATTGTAGTACTAGATCGGATGGAGTTCCACAAAAATCTCACTGGCATCAATAATAGCCACAGTATTCGGATACTTTAGCCTGAATGAATGGGGAGAGTTCCGGCAACTTGTTCTTTCGTTGGAACCAATTTGCTTCTTTCAGTTCATTGTAGAGAAAGCAGACCCAGGTAATGAAGTAGCGAGACACAGTAGTAGTAGAAACTTGAAAGCGAAATGCTAGGTCTCGTATATTCAGGTCCAGTTTAAGCTTGATGAGAGTAAGGAATAGCTGATTCCAACTGTCTAGTTTCTTACGTCGCTTTGTGTGAGTTTCTTTGTACCCCAATACGTTAGTGTATTGACAGCTGGTCCAATAAGTTGTAAAATGAGAGCAATACATCATAACATGGAAAGCCAGTGTATAGAGAAATGAGGGTGTCATCATGAGATACACAATCTATCCGAAAAGGAGCTCTCTTAGCATCCCTGAGTGCAACCTTTAGTTCCTCTACCTCTGATTATAGCACTTTAATCTGAGTTGAAAGAGCAACATCTACTGTGATCTGTACTTCTGAACGCAACCCTGATGGCATTGAAAATAAAGTCCCGCTAGAAACCGTAGGGCTAGTGCCTGTTCCAATACTTGATTGTGAATCTGATGCACACTCTGATAGAGGGCGCTCAAATGTAGTACAGTGGAACCTCCATTAACGGACACCTCCCAACTGCGGACACTTGCGGTAAAATGGACGCTTGCGCGGGTCCCGAATATTCCATTAAAAGCTGTACAAAAAACCTCCGGAAACGGACACCTCCCTTACCCGTAAACGGACAGTACACTACTCCCCATTTCACTGACACAATACATGGAACCTCCGATAACGGACACGAGCACCAGCGCGGACGCTTGCACTATTTTCACTTGGACACATAATTGCTATAGCTACACAGTACTACTACTGTTTCTACGACAGGATAAGTCGGAGTCTCTCAATGTAGTCATTCGTGCCATAAATCTGTATTTGCAAGGATTTCCATGCCATATCCGCACCGCGATTGACAGCAGCTCCTGTAACTTCAACTGTAGCTTTATTAATGCTTCTTTTAGAAAGTGAGACCCAGCGGGTGGATATTATACGGTATATGCCGACACCGTACTTCCTTTCATAAGAGCAACGGAAACTTGTCCTTAGGGTTAGTTAACTCTCTTCGAGTGGAAGAACGTCACCTAGTGCGGGGTTCCACATATCCTTGTATGCGTGGTAACCTCTGACATACGAATCAACTCGAGAACACGAAGACTTGTACCTACAACTTGACTTGCCATCTACTGTAGGCGTGGTTTTCGATTGCAGTCCACGTGGTCATCCACTTCATTTCCATTTAATGCACAGTATGTCTCTTTCTACTCTGAAGGGCAAAGCAGATAGCTAACACTGAAGAAAAAGGTCAAAAGTCGCAGTGGAGAGTCGTGTTGGCGTGAGAGGTTAGCAGAACAATTTAACTGCGGTAGAACACAGATATCATCGATTTTAAAGAATAAGTATCAATGCTTGAGCTCTACGAATCCAGTAGCATCTGCATGAGAAAAAGGGCTCGTTCTAGCGAGTTCTCCGAGATAATGAAACGCTGCATAAGTGGTACCTCCTTGCGTGCTCCAAGAACATTTATCCGTCCGGTCCTCAACTGTGTGAGAAGCCAGGGAAATTGCTCAGCGACTACATATTGAGGGTTTAAGGCCTCCCAATGGGTGGATAGATAATGGAAAAGGCATTACAATGTGGGTATGTAAGATTAGTGGCGAATCGGCAGATGTTAGTGGTGTTACAGTTGAGTCTTGGAAAGAAAGAGTATGTGAGCTTGTTGAAGGTTATGCAGCTGAGGATATCTGGAACCTTGACGAGACAGGGTGTTTCTGGAGAGCCCTTCCAGATCGTGGTTTTGCCCAAAAGGAGCTTCATGTCATGGTGGTAGAAATCCAAAGAAAGAATGACAGTAACTTTCCTTGTCAATGCTGCTGGTGCAAGAAACTGCAATCGTATATGGAAGTCAGCTAAACCAAGATGCTTCAATCAATTGACATCAGCGATCTTCCCGTCTCGTACTTTAGTCAGCAAAAGCATGGATGACGGGAGATATTCTTGTGTCTGTGCTGACTAAGTGTCAACAGAAAATTGTCATCAAGGGGTCGTAGCATAATTCTTCTAATGATAATGCTGGATGCCATCCAGAACATTCTGTTAAGATCGTTTTAGCAACATCAAAGTTATATTTCTTCCTCCCATCACCACTTCCAAATTACAACCATTAGATCTTGGCATAATTCAAAATTTTAAAGTGCATTATCGCACTCTGTTCTACGTTTGTTCTTTCTCAGATTGATGCTTGTGATAAAGCCTCGAGGTCGCAAAGTCAGTAAGTATTCTCCACTCCATTAGGTGGGTGGCTCAGGCATGGGAGGCTGTGAGCGCTGAAACGATCAGGAGATGCTTTAGGAAAGCAGGAATATTGGATGACAGCTTTTTCGGTAGTTACCCGTCCCAATGAGCATGATCCTTTTTTGGATATTGATTCGAACACGTCTAGAATTGAAAGTCTCATGGAACAAATCCAACCTGAGGGAGTAACTGCTCCAGTGTAGAGTTCATTAATGGCGACGATGACCTTGTCACATGTTTTGAAACTGATGATGATAGCTGGGACCAACAGTTTTCTTGCAAGCCTGGACTCACTACTGTACGTCTTCAGACCATGGGATGAGGAGAGGAAAGAGAGAGTTGGACCTCCTCAACAAGTTAAAATTATATCAGAAGCCATTTCCCATCTTGAGTGTACGGGAGTATTTAGACAGCAAAGGTCATCTTACAGAAGCTACAATTATTTCCTCTGCAGTGTACAACTTGCTACTGCACTGCAAAAATCGCAGATCGCCTTGATGATATCTACTTCAGTCCAAAATACATCACTACATGAACTATTATCATTACATTCATCACAATATCCATGTATATATTGTAAATTATATGTTTACAATCAGAATACATAGCACTTGACCTAAGCAAAAACCTCTGAATAAAGGA